TCTCTCTATTCTTTGGCATCTTTATGATATTTTAACATGCAAGTGCATATCAGTACTTTGAATGCTTGGAAATTGTACTGCCTCAACATTTGTAGATATATATACTCACACTGTATGTGCATTGCATTACCAGTCTAGCTTCTGATGGCATGTGCTGCATTATAGGCTAGTTCTTATGATGAAAGACTTTCTCTTTACGTGGGCAGAATCATTTTATCTTTCTTTTTAAAAATTCCTCTTGGGAGTTGGGATGGTGAAAGAGAGAAAGAAGGTGTTTGTTTCCAGCTGATGCACAGAAAGATGGGACAGTTTGAATCAGCAGGCAGGAGAACCCAAGGAAATGAATGAGATAATCAATTTGGGGCAGCTCTGGAGAAAACCCATTCTGCTTTAACCAATTAACAGACTTTCATTCATTCCCCCCTCCTTCTCTAATCACCTCCTAGTAGTTGTGAATGAGGTGCACTGTGATCAGGTATTTAGTAGTTGATACATTATGCAAGAAATACATCTCTTAGCAGGAAAACAGCACAGATATACATTTTTCTCTTTGAATGATGAAATCCAGTAAGGTCTGAAGTTAGGTTTTCAGTAATATTGTGTTACTGTCAGGGTATAGTAACACAGAATCTGTTGAAACAAAATGTACTTAGCATGTAACCATGACTAATTAACATGGAAACATAGCCTTTGCAAAATTTACAGTGTGGCCATCTTGACCACACCCAAAGCTAAATCAATCAAAAAAGTCTCATGCTCATGGATTGGAAGAATCAATGTCATTAAAATGGCCATACTGCCCAAAGCAATTTACAGATTCAATACTATTCCTATCAAACTAGCAATGTCATTTTTCACAGAATTAGAAAAAAACTACTTTAAAATTCATGTGGAATCAAAAAAGAGCCTGAATAGCCTAAGTAATCCTAAGCAAAAAGAACAAAGCCAGAGGCATCACACTATCCAACTTCCAACTAAACTATAAGGCTACAGTAACCAAAACAGCATGGTACTGGCACAAAAACAGACACATAGACCAATGGAACAGGATAGAAAACTCAGAAATAAAGCTGCACATCTACAACCATCTGATCTTCAACAAGGCTGACAAAAATGAACGATGGAGAAAGGACTCCCCATTCAATAAATCCTGCTGGGCTAACTGGCTAGCCATATGTAGAAGAAAAAAACTAGAACCCTACCTTTTATCATATACCAAAATTAACTAAAAATTGATTAAATAATTAAATGTAAGGCCTCAAACTAAAAAAACTCTAGAAGAAAACTTAGAAAATATCCTTTTCAACATTGGTCTTGGCAAAGAATTTATGACCAAGCCCCCAAAAGCAATTGTAACAAAAACAAAAATTGACAAGTGGGACTTCATTAAACTAAAGCGCTTTTGCACAGCAAAAGAAACTATCAACATACTAAACAGATAACCTACAGAACGGGAGAAAATATTCACAAACTAGGCATCTGACGAAAGTCTAATATCCAGAATCTATAGGGAATTTAAACAATTCAAAAAGCAAAAAACAAATAACCCCATTAAAAAGTAGGCAAAGGACATGAACAGACACTTCTCAAAAGAAGACATATGAGGTCAATATATGAAAAAATACTCAGCATCAGTAATACTCAGGGAAATGCAAATCAAAACTACAATGAAATGCCATCTCACACGAGTCAGAATGGCTACTAAAAAATCAGAAAATAACAGATGTTGATGAAGTTGCAGAGAAAAAGAAATGCTTATATACTATTAGTAGGAATGTAAATTAGTTCAGCCACTGTGAAAAGCAGTTTAGAGATTTCTCAAAGAACTTAAAACACAGCTACCATTCAAACCAGCAATCCCATATCATTATATCAAAAAGATACATGCACTCGCATGTTCATCACTAGCTATTCATAATAGCAAAAACATGGAATCAATCGAGGTGGCCATCAATGGTGGATTGGATAAAGGAAATATGGTACATATATGCCATGGAATACTATGCAACCAGGAAAAAGAATGAACTCATGTCCTTTGCAGCAACTTGGATGGAATTGGAGGCCATAATCCTAAGTGAATTAATGTAGGAACAGAAAGCCAAATACTGCATGTTCTCACTTATAAGGGAGAGGTAAACACTGAGCATATACGGATATAAACATGGGAATAATAGACACTGTAGACTACTAGAGGGCAGGTGGGTGTGGGTTGAAAAACTACATATTGGGTACTCTGCTTACTACCTGGGTCCAATATACCCATGTAACAATCCTACACATGTATCCTTTATATCTAAAATAAAAGCTAAATTTTTAAAAAATTATCCTTGGAATTGACTTCTCTTCCCTCTCTGTATGTATGGGTGTGTGTGCACATATGTACACTAGGAACACAAGCATGTTTTGATATTGGTCTGATTGGTTAAACAAAGTCAACCAAAGCAATACAAACTGTACATATTAAGATTACACTACATACACATTTGGTGCTAGTTAATGTAGAGCTTACAACAAATCCTAAAACAGTGCATTTCCTCAAGATTGTTACCTATTAGGGTTACAAAAATGAGTAAGATCCATTTTTATTCATTCATTAGGATCCGGCAGAAACCTGCTAAAAGCTACATGGTAGATTTTTCAAGAAGAGTCAGGCTTTAGGTATTTTGTGCAGTTACTGATTTGTATGCATTACTGATTTTATTCATATTTTGGATTCCTGTAAGAGTATTACTAACTTAGGTTTTTGGTTGTTGTTGTTGTAATAATTAAGTGAGGTAACATATTTTACACAGTAAAAGGCAGTATTAATAGAGGTTAAAAATCAGATGCTTAAGAATCAAATAAGCTGGATTACCTTGAGTTATTTAAACTCTAACAGTGTTTCTTCATCTATCAAATAAAGATAGTAAAAGTACATAATTCAGAGGCTTAAACTCAGAGGATTAAATAAATTAATATATGTTAAGTATCTAGTATACTGTAAGCAATCAATAAATGTTAAAATGCTATTACATGTTTGATAATGTTAGTCAGGCAACAAATATGGAAACACAATGGCTCAAGACTACTCTGAAAAACTGTGGCTAAACCATAGAGTTTGAGAAGGAAACTGAGACAGATGAGGCTGGGCACAGGCCTAACTGTGAAGAGCCTTGCGGGTCATGTTAATTTTGATCTTAAAAGCAATGAGGAACTATTAAATTGTCTTACAGAGGAGAGGCACGTGATCAAATTTATTCTTTTGAAGATTTCTGGCCGGGGTGGAGAGGAGGGCTCAGAGGGAAGTAGAGAGAACTCTTGGCAAGCCTCTGTACCAGGAAATAAGTGTTGATTATACGAATTAGTGTAGGGACTGTGGGGTCAGAGAGAAATGGATGGAATCAAGAGATAATTAGAAAATAGGAGAAGAGAAGGGAGAAAGCAAGAGAAAAGAATATGGGCAACTAGATGGATGATAATGCCATTCATTCACTGATAAGAGGAACCTAGAAAGAAACAGATTTATGAGGAAATGATTGATATAGCTTCAGGCACAATGAACTTAAAGAGATCTTAGAGAAGTTAATTGAGCCAATAGACTGTGAAAGTTGGATGAAGCGACCTCTAAGGTTCCTTCTAGTTCTATCATTACAACCGTAGATTTACTGATCCACTGTCTGTTGCAGTGGCAATCACAAGGAATCTCTGAGCTCTGCCTCTCTGTGGTGAAGAAACCACACACAGACAGGCATAGTGGCTCACGCCTGCAGTCAATCCCAACACTTTGGGAGGCTGAGGCGGGCCAATTGCTTGAGCCCAGGAGATCAAAACCAGCCTGGGCAACATAGCAAAACCCTGTCTCTACAAAAAATACAAAAAAATTGGCTGGGCATGATGGTTTGTGCCTGTAGTCCCAATTACTTGGGCAGCAGAAGTGGAGGATCACTTAAGCCTGGGAGCTCGAGGCTGCAGTGAGCTGTGATCATGCCACTGCACTCCAGCCTGGGTGACAGATCAAGACCCTGTCTCCAAATAAATAAATATAAAAATTAAAACAGAATAAACCACACCCAAGAGACCACATGACCCCATATTTAAGTAAATATTCAATCATCCCACACCCTGGTATAGACTCAGTGCCATTGGCTGTATGAATAATACCACACAGAGTCCCACTTCTTTCCTATTTACTTGTGTTTGACTTGAAACCTGGATACACCCCACTACCACCCACATATATATTCCATTTATGGTTTTGCCCTGACTCTGATGCCCAGGTTGGATCTCTGGACACTGACTCACCTACTTGTTTTTTCAATCTGTCCTTCCCTCTCATTTGAGGCAAAATTCTGGACTGTGACCTGGATTGCATGCTCTAGTGGTGCTTTCCTATATAACCACCCACATGCTATTACAATTTAGATACTCTGATGATGAATAGAATTGGAAAGCTTTAGCCCCTATAGGCTCAAAATCCCTTACCTTCTGTGATCTTTTTTGTACTGATACTTCCCAGAAGCCAGAAATTACCTTAGCCCCAAGCCCATGGTGAACAGAGTCAAGAATCAAAATACTGATAGATTCATCAAGGTTATGCTATTCCTAAGTTTCAAGAACATAATCATCAATAGTCAATAAATTGATCCATAGCACCACCCATCATTTAATAAACTATCCTCCACTGTGTTGTACCATTTCAGAACAATTTCATCATTAGTCTTTAAACCTCGACAATAATAGGTCATTCCATATAAGCCATAAATCTGTTTTCTTATCTAAGAGAGGAGCAAGTTTGCCTCATAATAAGGTCAGACGGCAAATGCGCACAGTGGCTGTGGTAGCGGTCTGGAAATAAAGGTGGCTTGGGAATGAGGAAAAACATTTGGGACTTATCCACAGGCCTGGTCATTGCAAACTGGCAAGAAAATAGAAAGTCACCATTAAATTTGGGGTGAGTCTTGAATTAGGTTATGACACACCTGTGTTGCCAAATGTGAATTTTGGGAAAAAGAGACACTCACCTGCTTACAGTTTCCTTTGCATAAGTCAGTTTCTAAGGAAAACAAAGACATAAAAATGACTGAGTTAACAACAGTTATTAAGGAGTAAATAAAACTTATTTCATAGAGACCACTACTGCCCTAACATGGTAGAATCCGTGTTACTATTCTCTATGGTTAGACAAGTGATTAAAACAAGTACTAATGATACCAAGTTTGTTTTGTGACTATTGCAACACCCTGACATTCAGTCTACTTACATGCACAAAAAGTTCCTATGCTCTTTCTTAATGGGCACAAATAACAGACTTGATCTGCCAATCATTTTGTAAAGGTATCAAAGTTATAGATTTGCAGAGTTTTACATAAACCTGCCATGGACTTAGAATCAAAGAATTTTTTATCTGATGTATTTATAGTAATTCTTATCCTAGAACAATGTGAACATGTGGATAAAATAATTGATAAATTTGTTTCTACAGAATTCAGACAAAAAAGACATATCATACCAATAATTGGATTATTCTCCAGGGGCATTCTAAAGCAAATTGCCTGCAAGTTTCCCCTAAATTAAGATTGTTATTTTGAGATCAATATGATAGAAGGAATAGTGACTTGGAATCAGGAGACCTAGTTTCAAGTTCCAGTTTCCCCTCCTTAGCTATATAGGAAAATCCCAAAATCTCTCTGGTGCTGGGCCTCAATTTCCTCATGGGTAAAACAGAGAGACTATTACTCTAAGTACGTCTCATTGCATTTAGAAATGACTCACTGCTCTTCTTGCTCTACAGATTCTCCCAGAATAATCTCAGCCACTCTCATGGTTTCAATTATAGGCATACCTCTGATATATTACAGGTTTGGTTCCAGATCACATAAAAGCTCAATGAAGCAAATATCCCAGTAAAGCAAGTCACATATTTTTTTGTTTCCTAGTGCATATAAAAGTTATGTTTACATTATACTGTAGTCTATTAAAAGTGCAATAACATCACATCTAAAAAAGGTATATACCTTAATTTTAAAATACTTCATTGCTAAAAAATGCTAACAATACTCTGAGCCTTCAGCAAGTCATCATCTTTCTGCATCTGGAGGGTCTTGCCTCCCAGTTGATGGCTGCTGACTAATCAGAATGATGGCTGCTGACTAATCAGAATGATGGCTGCTGACTAATCAGAATGATGGCTGCTGATGATTGAGGGAACGGTGGCAGCTTCATAAAAATAAGACAACAACGAATTTGGCCCCATTAATTGAATTTTTCTTTCACAAAAGATTTCCCTGTATATATAATGCTATTGATAACATTTTATCTAAAACTTCTCTTAAAATTGGAGTCAATCCTCTCAAATCCTGTCACTTCTTTATCAACTGAGTTTATGTAATATTCTAAATCCTTTACTGTCATTTCGATAGTGTTCCCAGCATCTTTACCAGAAGTAGATTCCATTTGACGAAACAATTTTCTTTGTTCATTCATAAGAAGAAATTTCTTATTCATTCAAGTATTATTATGAGATTGTAGTAATTTAGTCTCATCTTCAGGCTGTACTTCTAAGTCTAGTTCTCTTGCTATTTCTACCACATCTGTGGTTACTTCCTCTAATGAAGTCTTGAGCCCCTCCAAGTCATCCATGAGAGTTGGAATCAACGTCTTCCAAACCCTTATTCATGTTGGTATTTTGACCTCACCTACTGAGTCATGAATGTTGTGAGTGCCATCTAGATGGTAAATCCTTTCCAGAAGATTTTCAGTTCACTTTGCCTAAATCCATCAAAGAAATCACTATCTATGGCAGCTGCATGAAAAGTATTTCTAAAATCACAACACTTAAAAGTTGAAATTACTCCTTACTCCATGGGCTGCAGAATAAATATTGTATTGGCAGGCACAAAAACAACATTAATCTCCTTGTACATCCCCATCAGAGCTCTTGGGTGGCTACATGCATTGCCCATGAGCAGTAATACTTGAAAAAAAAAAAATTCTGAGCAGTAGGTGTCAAAGATGGGCTTAAAAGATTCAGTAAACCATACTGTAAACAGATGTGGTGCCATCAGACTTTTTTGTTCCATTTATAGAGCATAAGTGGAGTAGATTTAGCATATTTCTTAAGGGCCCTAGGATTTTTGGCATGGTAAATAAGCATTGCCTTCCAACTTAAGTCACTAACTGCATTATCCTATAACAAGAAATTCAGCCTGTCCTTTATTAAAGCCAAGTATTGACGTCTCTCTCACTATCAAAGTTCTAGGTGGCATCTTTGTCCAGTAGAAAGCTGCTTCATCTACATTAAAAATCTTTCATTCCATGTAGCCACCTTCATAAATTATCTTAGCTAGATCTTCTAGACAACTTGCTACAGCTTCTGCATCAGTACTTGCTTATGTTATGAAGATAGCTTCTTTTCTTAACTACATAAACCAACCTCTGCTATCTTCCAACTATTCTTCTGAAGCTTCCTTGCCTCTCTCAGCCTTCACAGAATTGAAAAGAGTGAGGCCTTGCTCTGGATCTGGCTTTGGTTAAGGGAATGTTATGGTTGCTCTGATCTTCCACTCTGACCACTAACACCTTCTCCATATCAGGAAGAAGGCTGTTTTGCTTACTTATCACTCATTTGCTCACTGGAATAGCACTTTTAATTTATTTTTATTTATTTATTTATTTACTTTTACTTTAAGTTCCAGGATACAAGTGTAGAATGTGTAGGTTTGTTACATAGGTATTATACATGTGCCATGGTGGTTTGCTGCACCTATCAGCCCATCATCTAGTTTTTAAGCCCCACATGCATTAGCTATTTGTCCTGATGCTCTCCCTCCCCTTGACCCCCACCCCCCAACTAGCCCTGGTTTATGTTGTTCCCCTTCCTTTGTCCATGTGTTCTCACTATTCAACTCCCACTTATTAATGAGAACATGTGGTGTTTTGTTTTCTGTTCCTGGGTTAGTTTGCTGAGAATGATGGCTTCCAGCTTCATCCATGTCCCTGCAAAGGATATGATCTCATTCCTTTTTATGGCTGCATAGTATTCCATGGTATATATGTACCACATTTTCTTCATTCAGTCTATCATTGATGGGCATTTGGGTAGGTTCCATGTCTTTGTTATTGTAAATAGTGCTGCAATAAACATACATGTGCATGTGTCTTTATAGTAGAATGATTTATATTCCTTTGGGTGTATACCCAAAAATGGGATTGCTGGGTCAAATGGTATTTCTGGTTCTAGATCCTTAAGGAATCACCACATTGTGTTCCACAATAGTTGAACTAATTTTCATTCCCACCAGCAGTGTAAAAGCATTCCTATTTCTCAACAGCCTCGCCAGAATCTATTGTTTCTTGACTTCTTAATAATCGCCATTCTGACCGGTGTGAGATGGTATGTCATTTTGGTTCTGATTTGCTTTTCTCAAACGACCAGTGATGATGAGCTTTTTTTCATATGTTTGTTGGCTGTATAAATGTCTTCTTTTCAGAAATGCTGTTACATCCTATACCCACTTTTTGATGGGGGTTTTTTCTTGTAAACTTAAGTTCCTTGTAGATTCTAGATATTAGACCTTTGTCAGATGGGTAGATTGCAAAATTTTCTCACATTCTGTAGGTTGCCTCTTCACTCTGATGAGAGTTTCTTTTGCTGTGCAGGAGCTTTTTAGTTTAATTAGATCCCATTTGTCAATTTTGACTTTTGTTGTTACTGCTTTTGGCATTTTCGTCAGGAAATCTTTGCCCATGCCTACGTCCTGAATGGTATTGCCTAGGTTTTCTTCTAGGGTTTTTATGGTTTTGGGTTTTACATTTAAGTTTTTAATCTATCTTGAGTTAATTTTTGTATAAGGTGTAAGGAAGTGGTCCAGTTTCAGTTTTCTGCATGTGGCTAACCAGTTTTCCTAGCACCATTTATTAAACAGGGAATTCTTTCCCCAGCTTGTTTTTGTCAGGTTTGTCAAAGATGAGATGGTTGTAGATATGTGGTGTTATTTTTGAGGTCTCTGTTCTGTTCCATTGGTCTATATGTCTGTTTCGGCACCAGTACCATGCTGTTTTGGTTACTGTAGCCTTGCAGTCTAGTTTGAAGTCAGGTAGCATGATGCCTCCAGCTTTGCTGTTTTTGCTTAGGATTGTCTTAGCTATACAGGCCCTTTTTAGTAGTTTTTTCTAATTCTGTGAAGAATGTCAATAGTAGTTTGATGGGAATAGCATTGAGTCTATAAATTACTTTGGGCAATATGGCCATTTTCACAATATTGTATCTTCCTATTCATAAAGATGGAATGTTTTTTCATTTGTTTGTGTCCTCTCTTATTTCCTCGAGCAGTGAGTGGTTTGTAGTTCTCCCTGAAGAGGTTCTTTGCATACCTTGTTAGCTGTATTCCTAGATATTTTATTCTTTTTGTAGCAATTGTCAATGGGAGTTCATTCATGATTTGGCTCTCTGCTTGTCTATAATTGGTGTATAGGAATGCGTGTGTATTTTGCACATTGATTTTGTATCCTGAGACTTTGCTGAAGTTGCTTATCAGCTTAAGGAGTTTTGGGGCTGAGACATTGGGGTTTTCTAGATACAGAACCATGTTGTCTGCAATCAGAGTCAATTTGACTTCCTCTCTTCCTGCTTGAATACATTTCTTTCTCTTGCCTGATTGCCTTGGCCAGAAATTCCAATATTATGTTGAATAGGAGTAGTGAGAGAGGGCATGCTTGTCTTGTGCCGGTTTTCAAAGGGAATGCTTCCAGCTTTTGCCCATTCGGTATGATATTGGGTGTGGGTTTTTGTCATAAATAGCTCTTATTATTTTGAGATATGTTCCATCAATACCTAGTTTGTTGAGAGTTTTTAACATGAAAGGCTGTTGAATTTTGCCAAAGGCCTTTTCTGCATCTATTGAGATGACTGTGGTTCTGTTTATGTGATGGATTACGTTTATTGATTTGCATATGTTGGACGAGCCTTGTATCCCAGGGATGAAGCCAACTTGATTGTGCTATATAAGCTTTTTGATGTACTGCTGGATTGGGTTTGCCAGTATTTTATTGAGG